CTCCCAGAACCCCTTTTTTTCTCGGAGAAACAGAGACATGGCTTTGGTTTACGTGACACTGCTAACTACACTGGACATGCGAAGAATCGTTGATTCTGTAGAATCCATGAAAAGGATACGTATTGATTTGCGGAGATGTAGCAAGTCGAGGGGCATACTGACATAGAAGCATTGTCCGTGGATCAAATCCCAGCTCGATACCCAGATCAACTAATCCTTCCATTCTCATTAGTTGGTACCAGATTTAACTGAGAGGTCAGAAAGCACTGACTTATAAGTCGACTGGCCACCGCAAGCCGCTGTTCGGACCACATACGCATTCAATTTGCCATTACAATTCTAAATGGAATTCGCATGCAAGGCGCATCCCAAAAAAGGGCTCGGTTCTTACCTAGAGGTTTTCTTCTCCAGGAATTGATTGAGAGGCTTGAAGAGTCGTCAAATCTGCGAAACGATCGGTTGTCAATCAAGTGGGAGAGCTGGAGAGCGTAATAGGAGGATTAAAGGTTTCAATTGAAGCCAACAGTTGAAAATATGCCTGATCCTTTCCAGAAACTTCTTCCTTTTCTCGATCGATACGCATCTTGTCAATGTAGCGGATTTCACGTCTATCTGATATCAACTCCGGTAATCGATAAAAAAGCAAACAATGCCAAAAAATATAGAAAAAGAAACAATGATGAAATGGAACAAAACAATTAAAAACCCGTAAATCAGGAGATGACTACCGCAATCACTTCAATGTAAGAACTTATCCTAGAATAACTGAAAGCAGGTACATATCAATGTTATTATTCCTTACCGTAACTCGACAACAGCGAACTAAAGAAGGATAGGTCTCTGAATCCGGAATTTGTCTCGAAAGTTCCTGTGAGTCTACAGAGGCATTTTCCAGAGTGAGCAGTAGCCCGAAAAAATCCTCAGGAGGATTTTCAATTGAAATCTGGACAGTGATTAATCATCTATCCTTTCGCCAATCGATATCGGTGATCAAGACAGGGCGTTGTCGTAACCTCGAATGCCTGGATTATCTGAAAACTGAAGGTTTTATTTAGGATTCCCGCTGCCTGAATGCTCCCCTGGTCTTGAAGAGTTGTTCGCCGCGTTGAATTCAATCACGAGCATTTTCGTTTTGCAATTATTTTTTCATCGAAGGGGGAGGGGAGACGATATTAAGGCACCCTGAAATGCCTGAGAGCTCTTTTTAGCATGTATTACATGTACTTGTGTACTTCTGCGTCCTGTTCTTCACAGAGTTTGCCCTCAGGGGTTGGGCTCATCGCCTTGCACACGAAGAGGAGAGGTTGCTGAGGTTTAGAGTGTGGCAGGAAAAAACGCACAAAATCAAACAGATCGATGTTCCTCACGAAACCCGCACCACTTTTTTCGCACTTTTTCGTGGTGCTCAGTGAGATGTTTTTTGTCCCGATTCCTCAGCCTAGATTCGTGACTGATAGTTTTTTCGATAGGATTTTTCGGCAGGAGAGAAAGTGTATTGTGTGGTGTGGGGAAAGGGTAGAGTGGGAAAGGGGTGTGCTATGAACAAGACCATCAGAAATCGATCCGTTCCCCATGATTATTATCTTTTTTAGAACTATTATAGTTGGCGCTCTGCAAAAGCTCCAAAAGAGCGTCAACCGGATCTAAAAAATAAATGAAATAATCAGCTGAAAAACGACGCTCGTCGACTTATTTTTCCATGTACTGAGGGCGCGCAGCCAACCTACAATACAAATCATTTATTGGAACGGAAGGTATATTCAAGGATGAATTATTCAAGCATTATTGTCTAGTTTGAATTCCGTCTAGGGCACGTGCGGAACGGAAGTGGACCTTTTGATTTTTTTCCCCTTAATTTAATGAATTTGTTTAAATGTCAACATTTGTAGCACTTTATTAAGCCTTTACAATTAATTAAATTTTTTTGGATGCGCCTCACACCTCAGTTCCACTCGGAATCGTAGTGACCGTTTGGATGTGTAGGTGGCCCATACAAGAACTTGCGATGACCAGCCAATTTTCAAGCCGTTGCATTTATCCTCTCAGACGAATCTGGTACCAATTAAGTGACACCCGAGAAAGGAAGGTCCGATTCGCCTGAACAAGTTTCTATTGAATCTTGGACCATGGGTCTGTGACAGTGCGCCACTTGCCACTACACCATCTCTGCCCAAGGGAGCTCATCATAGATCCGAGCGTTGAGTGCGGTAACCCATCTTCTACAGCACCTGGGGGAAATGAGGCGGATGATAATAACGGTGTTGAAATCGAAATAAAATATACGGTGCTTGCGCATCAGACGGAAATTTGCGTTATAGCATACTCGATTTACGCAGGAAATCCATTTCTGTGCATTAGGGGTGAAAGATCTTCGATTTCAATAACTTAGGAGCTTTCGCTGCTTATACTCCACTGCGAGCTGTGAAATAGAGCGTTACATATACTTCCTATCTGAAGACAACCCAGATCGCTTTAGCCCTAACTGATTAACGCGAAAATGGGGTACTGAAGTATGTAATGAAACCCCGAATAGGTTTATTTTTATCTTTCCTGGATTTCTTCTCGTGGATTTCTTCTTGGTCTCGACACAATGTCGGAACCGCTGAGGAAACTGAGATATAATAGCCAAGCCATGAACAACGTCGTTTCCACTAATATTTTACCAAATAACCTCTGAATGTACTTGGAAAACTTACAGCCAAGAAAATAGAGTTTAGTAGTCGTCTGCCACACATCCTCACAAAGATGTTATGTTAGGAGTAAGGTAGAGGTACGTAGTAAAGTAAAGAAAAAACCAATGAGTAAAGGAGCAGAATAGCCCGCGTGTAGTGATGGTCTATGAGAAAGAAGGCTTGTCTTGAAGTTGGCTTTGCGCATACGTTGGTACATTTTGAGCACCCTCGAACAAATGTGTGCCTATACATGTTAGGCAGTGAAGAGAAAGGATCCGCCTTTCTAGTCATTAATGCCAACAAATTCTCATCAACTGCTTATAAATCTGATTTGAGCGGTCCTTCCACCAAGCTGGAGTGATCCTACGACGATTGCCCTATTCTGAAAGATTTGCGAGGGCATCCCTGCTTTGCATTGCGACTGTATCAACTACGAAAACATTGTGTCTGAGGACTGGCTTCCACTTTTGAGGAGGTTCTTTCTCCAAAAAGCACCTACACAGTTCCATAGATTTCCAGACGAGCATCATGGTGACTGTCGTCATGCAGAACGTGGTCTGTCTTCAGAGTTAATGTTTTCTATAAGGTGATGCTTACCGAGCAGTGCGGAAACGGTCAACTGAATGGAAGGTTCCCGCTACCGAACCTTTTATTGGGAGCTGACGGGTCAAGAATTGCCATCGTAGGTTGGCGAAAACTTCATGGTCGATTTGATGGCCGTTTCGAAGTGTTCTACATTTTCAATGTCTATCTTGGGACAATATCTGCAAGTAAACAGAAGTACTATTCAGCAATAGCTTTGGCGCAAACAATGAAGGATAAAGTCTTGGGGCGTTGATCAATCCCATCCGAGGGATGCGCTTCCGCACTCGACTTCCATTAAGAATCGCAGTGACGTATTGAATGCGTATGTGGCCTATACAATGACTTGCGGTGGCCAGCCGATGTACAAGTCAGTGCTTTT